TGAACTTTTGTGCTGGGTCCGCCATTGGCCATATCAGACGACATACAAAGGATCATGCCAACAGCTCGTGATCGTGCAGGCAGCCAAGTTCTCAACTATAAAGAAGCCGTTTTGTTGACAACTGACAAGCAAGGCAGGTGTCTAAACATTGATCCAATATAAACCTATTTAGTCATCAATTACTATGTCAAAAAACTGGTCAGAGTTGCACACCCCATATTTGTCTTTCTTTAAATATAAGTGATACATCACGCCACACTAAAAATATAGAAATTAGTATGCATAATTATACCGAGTGTATTGATTCGATTATATTGATATTGTATCGTTTCTTTGTAAATCTACTAACCAGGTGGATGGCAAGTGCCAATACTCATATGACAAAAAGGATAGCTTGGTGCATGGGTGGATTAGCACTCACCGAGACATAGGATTTTGGGTGATAACACTGAGCAAGGAGTTCCGTGTTGGTGGTCCGGTGAAAAACAATCTTACATCTCATATTGGCCCAACCTCTTTTGCAATAAGTTGTGTTTTAAAATGTGCGCATATGTTTTACATATACTCGCGTATGGGGTATGTGCGTGATAATGCAATCACTCATTTCGTCGATTGTATATGTACGCTTAAATGTCAAGATACGCACACATTTGTATTAAAAATTGTGTCAAAATTAGAGCCTAACAAGGCCCAGCCCATTTGTATAACTTAGAAAAAGTAAATTGAGCCTAACAAACATCAAATTTACCCAAGTCCATGAATAATATACAACAATCTATAGGGTTTTGACATTTTAAAAAATAAAAAATCATAACAAAATTTTCATAGAGTTGCAAACTATCTATGCAGATCTGGATCCTCCATTTTAGGCATTTCTCTAGTTTTACTAGTAAGCGATGCTAGTAATTTTGAATTGTTGATGGTTATGATGATGAGGAGGAGATTAATAATAATAGCATACTCTACAAAAGGTAATAGAACTTCTTGAGCTGAAATAAGAGAGTTTGATGTATGATTTTTGCAACTGTCATTTCTGGCTCTTCTCGTGTGCTGCCACCTGGAAGAATAAAATGGAATATTTAGATAAATTGAACTCATAAGCAACTTGAAGAAGTCTAAATGAAAATGAAAGAATCTGGTTTAAGAGATTACAAATTTCCAGCCAACTATTTGCCCACAACAGCAGCAAAATATATCTGCTATGGTATGCATTCCAGAAAGCATCATTCTTACCTCTAGAGTTCCAACTTTGCTAGTAAACACTATCAGTCACGCTGGTGAAGTTTCGTGTTAGTTGCTGAACTTTAGTTTGTTCCAAAATGATCGCTAAAGCTTAATCGCTCAAACAAAAATCTCTGTTTCATAGCGGAAAGTCCAAAGTGGAAGTCGATTTATTTGTCATTCCGATTCTAGAAGTTTCAGAGCTAGGAGTTTCAAGTGTCATAGTTCAACTTTCAATTCATTTCATCATCCATTGTCGATTATTGCTCTCTTAATCCAGAGGAGTAACTAATTGTTCATGAGAAAACACCAGATTAAATCTCATAGAAATTACATTATCACAAGATTATCGAGAAGAGGAAGTGAAGAAGACATGTATGATGGCCCCCTTTGCCTAACAAAGATAAATTCAATGCCCTTCACTCATGTATCTTTCCTCTTACCTTCAAATTTCACCATTATTGTAGCTGTTAGAAAATAGGTGATAGCTCTCATACCACTTGTTAGAAATAAGGCGATACCAATTTGCTCTGATACCATTTTTTTAGAAATTGAGCCATTTGTTTTGAATATTAAAGACAAGATAATGAGTATGATGAAAATAACAATCATAAAAACACAAGATTTACGTGAAAACTCAATATGTGAAAAATCACGAACAGAGGTGGAGAGTTCACTATATTAAAAGTAAGGAATTATAATATGTTACGCGAGATCTTACAAGACTCTCCTCCGATATCTATATATGCGAGTCTCTCTCTATTAACCGGATTCCCTTGGATCACTCCCTAAGTCGATCAAATAAGCCCATGTTTGACAATAATTATTTTCAAATTTTTTTTCTACATATTAATTTTCAACCACATTCATAAAATAAAATATTTCGCATGTAAATTCAAAACATTTTTCTACTTTTTAACCACACATTCTCCTAAAAATCACTATTAAAAACATGATTTTTTTTCCATTTAATGATTGTCAAACATGGGCTGAATATGTGTAATACACCACATATTAATAATACCAGAATATCTAATATACTAGAATAATTAATACAAATAAGAATCTAACACAAGGTGAAATTCTATTATAATATGTAACATCAATAACACAGCATTTGAGTTGAAGTAGGAGTTCAAAACTATCAAATACGTCTTTGACTTCTTCAAGGCATACTAAAAATTCCCAATAGAACTTCCAATAAAATTCGGGTGGCAATTTAACTCTAATAGTAGATTATAATGTATTTCGAAATTTACAGTTCGAAATCAAGAAAATCGGAAACAAACATGCTACTCTAGGTCCTTGGTTCTCTAAGGACACGATTCTGCTATTTTTTTAAGATATCAGTATTATTAAATTATGCCTATAGAAAGTATCAAATATTATTAATTGTTGAAGTATTAAGACAATACATCAATAAATTGTGTTATTTGAAAAAAATGAGCACTAATATGTACTTGAGCATTTTTCTTTATGATTAAGAAATATTATTTTTATTTAAATATGAGCTTCATATTAACTCACCAGTCACCACCATTAAACAACTACCTCGGTGGAGTATTTTGTCCAATGCAATGGCCTGTCCATGTCCAATAACTAAGTTTGTAATATATGTGTCTAGATATCAATTCTGCTGATATGCACGTTTAATTTTGTCTAAATTTTTTAGCAATCTTTTGATTTAGTTATTTTCCAATTCATTAATTACCAGATTATAGACTAAATCGAACAAATTACGGGAAAATAGCCAAAAAAAAAGGTTGGACGAGACTACTAAATTGCAGCTTTGAAAAATCCACCAATGGACCTCCAAGAATATTTGACAAGTAGTTGATGGCTAAGTATTTGTAGCTTTGTACACAAACAAATTAGGACTCGTAATCGAAAATAACGTGCAAGCTGTGTAGAAAAGGGACTCTAATTCTACCAAAGTTCAACAATTAGTCAATGTATTCATAGGACTAAATTACTTGCCTAATACAAGACTCGTAAGTCAAAGTCCCAGTCCATTTGTCTTCATTTACTATAAAATTAATCTATATAAGAACCCATAAATTCCATTAAGTTCACAAGAACTGCTCCATTAACATTGCTCTAGAAATTATTTGAAACACAATAATAATATAAAGCTGCTGATACCAACAGCTAGACCGGTGACACCTTCTTCTTCTTCTTGGTAGATCTTATAATTCTTGCATGCTTTCTTTTCCTATGCATGATTCTGTATATGCTGGGTTGAGGCGTATATGGTGCGCGATGATTCTTTTTTACTCACTTTTATTAATAATCTGAAACATGTTCTACATTATTGGTTAGCAGGTTCTTTTGTTGTTGCAAATATGGACAAGGTCCAAAGGTTTTTAGTTTTAGGAGGGTTTCTTGCGATTTCTTTTTCATTGTTCTTGCATCTTGGTTCTGCTGCAAATACCGCAGACCGGTTTGTTCATTACAAAATCATCTCTTTGCTTCAGTGTATTTATTAACTATTACATTAGTTTATGATACTTTTGAGTTTTAAGTTAGGCCATGTTTGTCATCCTTTAAAAAATTAAATTGTTTGCTACAGTATCATTTCTCCACCATACATAATAAAATATTTTACATACAAACCAATAAAATTTCCTTACTTTTTAATCACACATTCTCCAAAAAATACTATTCCATAACTCATTATTCCCAAATAAATTCTATCAAACATGCACTTAATATTGAGCACAATAACAGCAATTCCTTGACTCATGCATGTCATTGTAAGACGTTAAATTTGATATTTTGAATATGAAGTTTTTAAATACATTTAAGTAACGTAGCACCAATCTTTAGAAGCTCTTTACGTAATGGGAATGGTGTTCGCAATCCATTCTTCCTCTAGAAGTAAGACTGACATGGTACCATCGCATAATACGATTTTTATATTAATAACATGTTTGGTACACATTCTTCTAAACAGTGACGCTTCATGTACAAAAGCATTACTCACAGAAATTTCACAGAATAAACAAAAAGGTGGTCCCCGTGCTATTTTTTTTTAAAATACATGTGGGGCCCACCCTTTGTGTCTATTTTGTGAAATTTCTATGAGTAATGCTTCTGTACACGAAGTATTACTGTCTTCTAAAATACATTTTCCTCTCTGTTATTTTCAACCACGCATTTTTTAATAAAATAATATTACACACAAATCCAAAACATTTCTTTATTTTCTAACCACATATTTTCCATCAAAACACTATTTAAAATGCATTCTTGGGAGAATAATGTGGCTCAAACAGGGTGTAATATTATTTTCGTCATCCGAGTGATTCTCAATAAAACACAAAGAATGTTTGAAATAGAATTTGACCCGAATTCTATTTGAAATGCTATTTGGAAATCCTATTCGAAATCTATTTGACAATTATAGTTGAAATTCAATTCGAGAGTTTGAAATTTGTGTTGGACTTTAAGAGATCAAAATATGGACTAGTGAGAAAATTTCGATGCTTTTCCGCTAGCCGTCAGCTAGCCTCCCACTCGAGCGGTAGCGTCAAATTCTTTATAGTGAGTTGCCGCCCGCCTAGCGCTAGAGCGGTCCATGTATCCGGCCCAAGCTCGTTTCTTATCGCGTTTTCAACATTCCTTTCTATCTATAACTCCATTTCTAGAGTTTGAAACTTTCCCTTTATATAATTAGCTCTTCATTGTGATTTAGACAAATTAGACAAATATGGTACAAAATATTTGTATTCTTTCTCTATATTTTAGTGAATTTTCATTTCCTTTGCCAATTATCTTTTGTTCTTGTGCATTTGTGATATTATCTTCATATCGTACCATATATTTATCCTTGTATTACAACAAAAAGAACAAATAACCCTTGTTTGGTGTAGCTTAAAAGATTGATAAAAATTCGAATTAATAATCAATTTTAACCACATATTTCATGGGATCCACAACTCTTTAATCATACATTTTATCGATTTTTTTTTTTAAAATCTACTAAAAATCTAATTTTAGCTACACCAATGATAGACATAATTATAAATTCTTGATTGTTCGTATTAATAACTATATATTACAACAATTCACTAATCATTTTCTTGATTGTTTGAATTTGTTGCCAACTCCACAACGTCAACTGACCTTATTTAGTGAACCAAATACACCTAAATATGTCTCTATCCGCTAAAGAATTAAGAGAACAAAAACTTTGATTTTTATCCAATTCAACTTCGTGAAATATTCGAATAAGTCCATAGATACTCTTCTTTTTCTCCGACTCTTCAGGGATTGAACCTTTTTTTCCACTAATTTTCAATTACATGTTCTCCCAATAAAATAATTTTACAAGTAAATTCAAAATTTTTAACTACTTTTTATCCGCACATTCTTAAAAAATTACTATTACAAAACTCATTATTTTACAAAAAAAATAGAGCGCGAACATAAGATGTAGAATTCCTCAATTAGCTTCTCTTTATTGTTTTATAATTTGTCAATATCTGACCTAAGTAATTAATAATCAAATCTGCAGATGGATGCCACAGAACACCGATCAAGAACTGATGCCATCTTCTCCTGTCAAACTCAATAAATGGAAAGATCATGTAAGCCTAAATTACCTACATAAACTCCATATACTGTTTCTGATATTGAATATTTTTTACATATTTGGTATATCGAAATAGACATTACAAGACAATGAGAAACAAAAAGAAGTTATTTTTTTTTTTTGGGTCAATTACATTATCCCAATAAAACATATTCGACAATTACTTAAATCCAAATTGATTAGAATTTTTTTTTGCAGGTGATGTTGGACAATGGCATTGTTAAACTCACATTATTATCTCCAAGTGGTTTGATCGCGGAAATACAATACAAATGAGATAAGAATGTCCTCGAATATCATTCAAAAGAAAATAGACGAGGGTGAGTTGCTTTGAATCTAATACAAAATAATTTGAATAAAGTTGTAAAATAAGTTCTTGAAAAGAAAATATCCATTGCTACACATGGATTTGCACATTTAGGTATTGGGACATGGTGTGGAGTAGGTCAGAAGAGCACAAAAGTTTTTTCAACGAGTAAGTTCAAAAATTTGGATCTTCTAGAATTTCAGAAATCAAGTCCATTACTTGCACACTCAAGAATACTTATTTTAAGTAATAGAAAATACTAATTAACCTCGTTAAATTATGCAGGCTTGAAGGGGCAAGTTTCAAAGTTATTGCACAAACAGAAGATATGATCGAAATTTCATTCATGAGAACATGGAATTCCTACGATAGTTACTCTTACCCCTTGAATGTCGATATAAGGTGGAATTTAGTTTATTAATGTGGAAAGCATATTCAATAACTTGATAGAGTCTGCCTAGCTAATAAATCTTTTTTGCAGGTATATAATGTTGCGCGGAAGCTCTGGTTTCTATTCATATGCAATAATGGAACATTTAGAAGGATGGCCCGATTTAAATATTGATGAAATGAGGACTACTTTCAAACTGACGATGCCATGTAAGATATGAGAATTAGAAACTTTAAAATGCATTACATGCTCAATGTGAGCTTCAATAATTTTAACTATATTGTATATGCAGGTTCCATTACATGGCTATATCAGATGACATACAAAGGATTATGCCAACAGCTCGTGATCGTGCAGGAGGCCAAGTTCTCAAATATAGAGAAGCCGTTTTGCTGACAAATCCAAGCAATCCATCCCTCAAAGGCGAGGTGGATGACAAGTACCAGTACTCGTGTGACAACAAGGATAGCTTAGTGCACGGGTGGATTAGCACTGACCATGACATTGGATTTTGGGTGATTACACCGAGCAATGAGTTCCGTGCTGGTGGCCCAGTGAAAATTGATCTTACATCTCATGTTGGTCCGACTTCTTTAGCTGTAAGTAGATCTGTTCCGGTAAAAGTCACTTTAATATCACGAAATACATCTTCCGAAAATTCTTGCCGTTATTTAGGAAATACAGACTCTACATCAATAATATTTTTTTAAGCATATAATTGACACTTACTTATTCACTAATTTCTTCTCAATTATCCACGCCCAGGCATTTTTTAGTCGTCATTATGCTGGTCCAAATTTTGGAATTAGATTAAGCAATGGAGACCCGTGGAAAAAGGACTTCGGGCCTGTATTTAAATACCTCAACTCAGGTTCAAGTAACAAGCTTTGGAATTAGATTACGCAATGGAGACCCGTGGAAAAAGGTCTTCGGGCCTGTTTTTATATACCTCAACTCAGGTTCAAGTAACAAGCCAAGGACACTTTGGGAAGATGCTAAAGCACAAGTAATTTACATTCAACAAAATACAATAAATGAATGGATAAATTTACTTGTACATCAAAAGATGTACATCAAGGTCTACACCCCCTCACATGGGAGTGGGACCCATTTGTGTAAAATATTTTTTTATTCGAGCGGAGCCCACCCCCATGTGAGGGGGATGTACACGATGATGTACACGATGATGTACCCCTAGCAAAGCCGTAAATGAATACTTGAAAACTTCCAATTTTACAAATCATGACATTATTGTGTCATTTTCGTTCCCAAACCTAACTCACATTTGTTGATCATTTCAATTCATCAGATGCAAAAAGAAACCCAAAAGTGGCCATATGATTTTCCAAGTTCAGAAGACTACCCTCAGGCCAATCAACGGGGCACCATTAGTGGTCGATTATTAGTTCGTGACCGATATCTCAGTCGAGAATTAATGCCTGCAAAATCAGCATATGTGGGATTGGCTCCACCAGGGGATGTGGGATCTTGGCAAACAGACGTTAAGGTTATATATTTGACATAAATTTATCAATATCTATTTCTATATAACTTTTCAACATTAGGTAAGTTTTTGATTTTAACATAACATATTAATTATTTTTCTTAATATTATTACTAGGGTTATCAATTTTGGGATCAAACTGATGAAAATGGTTACTTCACGATAAGTGGCGTTCGAGGAGGTACTTACAGCTTGAATGCTTGGGTCGCAGGAGTGATGGGGGACTACAAACATGAGACTGATATTGTCGTCATGCCAGGTTTTAATCTCAATGCCTACTGAATTTTATATTTGAAAGTTGAAAAATAATTCTTACATGCAATTTATGGAGAAAATGAGGGTTGGACAAAACTCCCGAATCGAACTAAGCGGTTCTTTATAAGTTAAATACCCGAACGGGTATCTGAATCAAGAACCGACGGGTTTGGTTTGGTTCTCGGTTC